AAAAAAAATATTCGAGAAGGGGGAATAATCAAGAAGAAGTCATTATGTAGATTGTTCATAGTGAAATACGGAGTGTGAAATGTCTTGAGATTCAAACAGAAAGATGAGATTTTGAAGGGACACTAAAGCGTGTAAAATTTTTAGGTACAGACATCCTAGCGGAGGAAGATTGGGGAGAACCGTTGATTGTGTTCCGTTGTACTCTCCAATCCTAATTCCTTCATTCGCTGAAACTCTGCCGTGATATGGTCCTTGAACACCGAAGCACTGGTGCAATTTTCTTTTGCGATGCGATATACGGTTTCTGGGAAATCTTTGATTGGGCCGCATTTGTATGGAAACTCAAAGCAATATGCATCACCATCTGAAACAAGAAAGAGTGCAGAGATGATATCAAGAGAAAGCCAGAAATTACCGTTGTACAGTCTTCTAACAAAGATTTTGCAAATTGCTTCTTCCATCTTACTTGACTTATATCTTCTTTTAACAACCATCTCGCTAAGACAGTGGATGCCCTAAATTTTAACGCTAATCAGTGACGGATTTCACTAAAATTTAGAATTGCTATTATAGGTGAAATTAACGTACCATAGAGAAAATTACTAAAACAGTGATGCAGGAAAAGAGTTGCTGATCACGCATATGGTAGATAGTTAGACCGGAGATGGATAAGAACCCATTACAACCGATCCGACATACATAAAAGCGTAAATCTCAGACAGTTCCCAAACTAGTCAGCGATTGATGTATTGATGGGAGAACCGGTTACAAAATGGACTTGCGCTTATTCGAGATTTGCTAATTATTTCTGCATGAGAATTCACAGGAAAAGGCCAGCCTGCTTTTCTGGGTAAATTCATACCTTAACGGTAATAAGTGCAAGTTATCTCAATTATCTCAACATTTTTAGCAAAATCAACTTTTTTCTGCCAAACTCGCATGAAAACTTGACAGATTAAAAAACGATCAGAGGGCACTGGGAGATGTTGATTGTAAACCAATCTTACGTTATTAAAGTGAAGTTGCGTTCCAATCCATTGTGACATTCACTTCGTCATCTCGAAACAACTCAAATATAAAAGCAATCTTTTTTACTTTTTTAGCAAAACTTTGATTGCATAATCAATTTTAGCGAGTTTTATGCTTACTTCTTTCAAATTTTTGAAATATGCTTTTGTAGAAACAGATGCTTTAAACGTTTACTTCGTAGAATCGTTACAGAAGAACTGTACGATTTAGCGTAGAGAGATATTGTTATGAATATCACAATTAGTACGACCATATTCTTTGTATGGGCACTAGGCTTGATATAGGCCAGTCTTTCTTGGTGTGCCTCTTGCCGTCTCGACTTCCCAGTCATATGGATTATTAACATTTCCACCACTTACTATAGCTCCCTGAAAGTGGTTTATGCTAGAGATGTATAGAGGTATACAGGGATCTAGTATTAACCTCTTCTAGAAGTTTATATATATAGGAATAGTCAACATGATCGTGATAATGTAATGTGTCTAAATAGTCTATAATCTTTCCAAGCTCTTCCTTGCATCTCATATTCCCAAATTGTGCTTCCTAGAAAAAAACGACAGAAATCGGTGAGCAATAGCTAGAGAAATTCAACACAAACTCGTTTTTCTCTTCGTATTTCCTCTTTCATTCGCAAAACCTCGTTCTTTTCGCTGTAAGCTTTCCATAATAGCCCTGTAAGGACTTGCTCAGAAACTCAACCTTTTCAATCGGAAAGCACTTAACAGGAAACTAGGTTTTTGCAATTTCCTCACCCTGAGGCACTGTTATGTCAAGTAGCAAGTAGAACCACGATTCACAATCATCTTTTGGTCCCATTTCCGTGTTTCTATGACAGGATATTGATGCAAATGGAATTGTACCCTGAAGATGTGCTCCACAGTGGAAATCGGCGCATAGAAGATTTAGAATACCTTGAATTTTACAGTCATCCGTGGTGTTTTCAACTCTCCTTTGTCGTTCAGAATCCTTCGTGCGATGCCAAAGTCGAGAATGTAAATCTAATGTAACGGAATTCGCTAACCCAACAGTCGTTGCGTTAAACAACATACCACGCGCTTTTTCTCCCTCAATCCGCAGGCGTAATTAGCCGGCTTTAAGTCGCGATGGATAAATCCGTATTTGTGAAGATCCTCGCAGGCTTCCAAACATTGTGTGGAAGCTCCCAATCCAGTAGAAACGCTGAAAACCTGAACACAAGGAATTTGCGGTTGAACGAAGCTTTTTAGCTTTTCGAATCGGATAGACGAACTCGTCCTGGTCGTTGATTTTTCAAATCGGCTAAACTTTTTCCTACTAACTCCATGACAAGAAAAAAGTACGTCTCCTTTTTCCCTCGATCAATAATCGTAGTGAAATGTGATTGTTTCCGTTCTTGAGATACGAGCTTGAGAATTGCTATCTAAATAGTAGGGTGGAATATTCTACAGTTCTTCTCTTCTAGAAAAGAAGTTTTTACCTCCATTTTTAACTTCGAGTGTTTGCGAGTTTCAAGTTTCTTTTCTACTTTCATTGCAAATAATTTAGTGGGATCCTTTTGGTCTTGAACTCTAAATGTCCATTTTTAACACATAGCCAGCTGTTATTGTTACGATTTAGCTGTGCAAGGCTTGGTACTACCGCTCTCGCATTAATTCGCGAAGTAATGGTTATAGAAATGTTATCATTACCAAGATAATGATATAATGCTGCCATAGATGATTTTGTGGTGTTAGTCAGATCATTTACTTTCATAAACCGCATGTTTTCTAGTTTCTAATATTTAA